CCAGTAGGTGTTTGAGGAACGTACTCTTGCGGGTAATCATAGTAATAATAGTAATATTGACCTTCCTCCTGCTCCTCCTCACATGGAGGCATGGTGCATAAATCATAAATATCAGCACCAGTGAAACCTTCAGGAGGACCGTAGCCTGGAGTAGGCGGTGATGACCCTTGAGAATCGGAATCATCAGGATGACTGAGAACGACCACAGGAGTACCTGGCCCCAATTGAACCTGACGATAATCAGCTGTCACAAATCTAAGAGGAGCAGGTGTAGAACTATAACGTCTAAAACGAGATGGTTCAACGGGTTTAATGTATGTTGGATCACCATACACGAAGGCGTAAGTAGGTTGAAAGGTAGCCGAATGTGGTGCTCTCATGGGTTGTCTGGCGTCTTTTGGAAATCCTGATGACTTTGTAGCAAAGGTAGCAGTTTTTGGAGGATTTGGAAGATTGAGGGCTCTATTAACCTTTGGAGGGAAAGTTGCTGTTTGAGGAACCTTGCTCAAATTTGAAACGTGAGGAGACGGCTTTGACAAATTGAGTGGCTTGGGGGTGGGTCTAGAAGAACTGGCTGTTTTTTGTTTGGAAGTGGGAGCAGTAGCAGGACCATTATGTTTTGGAGGACTCCTGGACAAATTATTGTAAGCGTTTAGAGGAGGAGAGGACCTTGAAACAAATACACTCTGCGGAGGTGAAGACCTGGTAGACGTGTTGGTTATTTGAGGTGGAGACCTAGATAAATTCATTTGTTGTTGAGGTGCAGTTTTTACAAGAGTCGCGGTCTTTGTTGGCTGCATGGCATAAACTTGTTGATTTTGTCTAGGAAACTGTGCGGTTTTTGGGGTTCGAACAGATTGACCAGAATTATTGCTACCAGCCGTTCTTGAAGTATTATTCTCACTCTGAGCACGCTCCACGTTAATGGACTTTAGATTTACGGGTCTAGACTTGTTGCTACCACTATCCCTACGTTTACCTTGGTCACCGTTTGAATTATTATTCCTCCAGGATTGCCTGGTCGGATCTTGGCTGGACGGTTGATGTTGAACTTGCACACCGCCGGCGTCCATAATCTTAT